ACTGTACCCGAACAAATATACTACTGTACCCGAACAAATATACTACTGTACCCGAACAAATATACTACTGTACCCGAACAAATATACTACTGTACCCGAACAAATATACTACTGTACCCGAACAAATATACTACTGTACCCGAACAATGTACTACTGTACCCGAACAATGTACTACTGTACCCGAACAATGTACTACTGTACCCGAACAATGTACTACTGTACCCGAACAATATACTACTGTACCCGAACAATATATACTACTGTACCCGAACAATATATACTACTGTACCCGAACAATATATACTACTGTACCCGAAAATATATACTACTGTACCCGAAAATATATACTACTGTACCCGAAAATATATACTACTGTACCCGAAAATATATACTACTGTACCCGAAAAATATATTACTATACCCGAAAAATATATTACTATACCCGAAAAATATATTACTATACCCGAAAAATACATTAAAGTTTCTTTTTTCTTGTAGACCAGATGTATCGCAGAAAGATCGGCTTCAGCTTATTAAAATGAAGGTAATGCACATTTCTAATTGTTATCCCTCCAGTGATTCCCTAAAAAGCTTCTGTTATCAACAGGAGACGTGTAAATTAAAAAGTATTTTGTACTGACCTGGAAAAAGTGTTTAATGTGTGTCCTCGGGTCTTGAATTTGCCTTTTTCAAATGTTCCCCAAAAGTACGTAAAAACAATGGAAAATTGGACCATATATTACCCATTATGTATGCAACAATAGAGTATACTTGACTGTATTTGTGTTAAATGTCTCAAAAAATGACAGATAAGGAATTATGATATAGGGATTCCTAACGTGTAAAAAGTTGAAAATTTTCCTCAGTCAAATGTTGCTCAGGTTTCGAGATCCCACCTTTTTTCTTGGTCTTATTTAGTCGAGTAAAGGTTACTTATTAAATGACAGTACAGTGACATTTACATGTGCATTCTTTTTAGTTGACCTTGGACAACATGAAAATGAAAGAGTAAGTCGACCATTTTTATGATACATTGTATGTGCTGCATTTTTAGTGCAAAGTGAAGAATTCACTTTGCAGCTGTAGTGGTTAGGGGAAAATTCAATCAAGACAGAGTCAATCAAGAGTGTAAACAATCAGGGGGGAGGTTGCATGCATGTCTTTCTTCTAGATCAGTGGTTACACTGATTAAAAGTTTAATAGTTACAGTGCGTCTACTGTAAGTGGGGCCACTTAGAGAACACTAACCAATCACATTGCAGAACAGAAAGTGAAAAAATCAACAAACGGCGCATTAGCCAATCAGCATTAGGGCAAAAACAATTCGAACAAATAAACGAATGTCAAACGGTAAAAATAGACTTGTAAAAGTAAACACTGCAGTTAATGGCTTCCTGAATCTTTCTTTTGATTGGACGAGCTTTAGTTTGATTAGATTTTTCTTTTTGTTCTGCAGTGCGATTGGTTAGTGTTCTCTAAGTGGCCCCACTTACAGTAGACACACTGTAAGTGAACTAACTCTGGAGAAACATCGTGTATTTATAATTTTCTAATTACATACATACATATAATTTTCTAATTGTATAATTTTAATTCACATACATAATTTTCTAATTACATACATACATATAATTTTCTAATTACATAATTTTCTAATTACATAATTTTCTAATTACATACATACATATAATTTTCTAATTACATAATTTTCTAATTACATACATACATATAATTTTCTAATTACATAATTTTCTAATTACATACATACATATAATTTTCTAATTACATAATTTTCATTCACATACATAATTTTCTAATTACATACATACATATAATTTTCTAATTACATAATTTTCTAATTACATACATACATATAATTTTATAATTACATAATTTTCATTCACATACATAATTTTCTAATTACATACATACATATAATTTTCTAATTACATACATAATTTTCTAATTACATACATACATATAATTTTATAATTACACACATAATTTTCTAATTACATACATATAATTTTCTAATTACATACATAATTTTCTAATTACATACATATGGCAAATTTCTAATTACATACATATGGCAAATTCCCATCATGTATACGATCACTTTCTACTGCGAGTCATGTGCTTATTTCGTATATTTCGTGCGAATGGATATCATATAATAAATCTTTATCAGAAGATACACCCAATTTTGTTACAATCCACTTTACACTATCCTTGGGATCTCTGAGTTTTATCTGGTTGTAATTCCATTTGTACATCCTATCTTGCGCAGCTCTCTTCGTCGAAACTGTTGTGTGAGAGTGAGGTCAGTGGGTATGATAAAAACAGGATTGAATTCGGATGTTACACAGGTAAATATTATTTATGTACTATTTATTTACTTTACAACCATATAAAAATACAAAATATTATACATATATATTATTTACAAATATGGTTGAAATTGTGGTCAACAGGACATGGGTCGTGTGTGAAGACCAACCTGACAAACGTTGCAGGACAACGCGGAAAAGACAAAACATTAAACGCGAGGACAATAGACTATTTACATATCGTGTTTGAAGAATTAAGCTCCATCTTTCAATTCTATCCATTGGACACGAAATACAAGACTATACTTTTATTATTTTATATATGGATAATATTGCCTTTTTGTTTGAATTTCAGCACGCATTGTTGTTGCCGGTGCTTGTTCATCACGTACGCTATCATCTGAGTTTAAAAGCATTTGATGAGAAAATCGGATATGTGTTCAAGGATAGAGCTCTCTTGCAGGTGCGTTATCTCTGGTAACACTGGATCAATAAGAGACTACTCTCATTGGACCTCTAAGAAGAAAAGTTTAGAACTGGTAGAGCTATCCAGTATAAATAAAGTTAGTTTAGTTTAGGTTTCCTCCTGTAGTAACACTGGATCAATAAGAGATGATCCTTACTGGATCTCTAGGGAGAACAGTTTAGAACTGATAAAGCTATCCAGTATAAATAAAGTTAGTTTAGTTTACGTTTCCTCCTGTAGTAACACTGGATTAATAAGAAATAATCCTTACTGGACGTCTAGGAAGAACAGTCGCGCTATCCAGTGTTTTTCACTTTAACAAATGTTCTTCGCAATGTTTTTTCTTCTACAGCTGGCTCTAACACATCCTTCATATGTGATGAACTATGGAACTAATCCTGATCACGCGCGTAACACGTTGTCAAACTGTGGAGTGAAACAGCCTCGATATGGTGACAAGAGAAATCGCTTGAGTCATACTAAAAAGAAAGGTACAGTACAGAACAGGGCCGTATTTAGGGGGGGGGGGCGAGGCGCCGTTACACCCGTGTGGGCGCCCAAACTTGGTGCAGAAAAAATTCATCACTTTATGAAGGCACGCACCTCCTACAGTATACCATTTCTCAGCTCTTCTTCATAACCCCTCAGAATGGTAATTAAGATACATTATAATTTAAAGTACTGGTTCATAAAAGAATGTTAGACCAACTTTATTTCCATTTGGTTTAGGGATTGTTCAGCTCATTGACATCATGGCCAAACTTGAAGATCTAGATGGCAGCCAGTCTTTGTAAGTTTTGTTTTGCTAGTCATACGTGTACTTATTGAATCGCTAAGCTATATAATCTCACTAACTTTATATATTATTATATACTGGTCACTGGATGGCTATGTCAATGAGCGATCACTTATTGATCCAGTGTTACTAGAGGAGAAAACCTACACTAAACTAACTTTATTTATACTGGTTAGTTCTATCAGTTCTGAACTGCTCTTCCTGGAGGTCCAGTAAGGATCATCTCTTATTGATCCAGTGTTACTACAGGAAGAAACCTACACTAAACTAACTTTATTTATACTGGATAGCTCTTTCAGTTCTGAACTGTTCTTCCTAGATGTCCAGTAAGGATCATCTCTTATTGATCCAGTGTTACTACAGGAAGAAACCTACACTAAACTAACTTTATTTATACTGGATAGCTCTTTCAGTTCTGAACTGTTCTTCCTAGAGGTCCAGTAAGGATCATCTCTTATTGATCCAGTGTTACTACAGGAGGAAACCTAAACTAAACTAATTTTATTTATGCTGGGTAGCTCTATCAGTTCTAAACTGTTCTTCCTGGCGGTCCAGTAAGGATCATCTCTTATTGATCCGGTGTTACTACAGGAAAAATTTTTCTATGATTTTAATAATGCAGTGTTAAACAACGGAGTGTGTTTTTCCTCTAGCATCCAACATAACGAAAGACTAGAGTTTCTCGGTGACGCCATATTGGAATTTATCTCCACTTGTCATCTTTACTACATGTTTCCCGAGATGGCCGAGGGAGGACTGGTAACCCATAGATCTTCCTTGGTGCAAAACAGACATCTGGCGCAAGTTGCCAAGGTAACCAGCTGGTAATATAAATAGGCGCAGGTTTTAACTGAGCACCGCCCACCAATAACAAAACTTTTTCTCTTGTTTTTAGAAACTTGGGTTGGATAATTTCATGCAGTTTTCTCACGGGTAATTTTTGAACATTCCTTTATTACGTCTGTTTGTACAACTGTCAAATTCAATGCTGTATCTGCTCCAAAGCGTTAGGGGCGCCCGTGTTTGTCTAAGACTAATCCTTTCTCCTGATTGTTTTATACGTGTTTTAGGCCAGATCTTTGTCACGAAGAAGACATGGAACATGCAATGGCGAATTGTTTAGAAGCTATACTCGGTATGCTGTTGACCGCCTCATGCACTCTCAAATTTTGATGAGAGTTGACGAGAGTTTTCGCCACGCGCGCGGTAATATCCAGTCAACTTTCATGCAACCCTTGTTCTCGTTTGACCGGGGCATGAGAGTTGAGAAAACTCTCATGCATGCAAACTCTCACTTCTCAACTCTCATGCAACTCTTGTTCTCGTTTGACCGGCGCATGAGAGTTGAGAAAACTTTCATACAAACTCTCGCTTCTCAACTCTCATCAACTCTCATGCAACTCTTGTTCTCGTTTGACCGGGGCATGAGAGTTGAGAAAACTCGCATGCAAACTCTCACTTCTCAACTCTCACCATCTCTCATGTAACTCTTGTTCTCGTTTGACCGGGGCATGAGAGTTGAGAAAACTCGCATGCAAACTCTCACTTCTCAACTCTCACCATCTCTCATGTAACTCTTGTTCTCGTTTGACCGGGGCATGAGAGTTGAGAAAACTCGCATGCAAACTCTCACTTCTCAACTCTCACCATCTCTCATGTAACTCTTGTTCTCGTTTGACCGGGGCATGAGAGTTGAGAAAACTCGCATGCAAACTCTCACTTCTCAACTCTCACCATCTCTCATGTAACTCTTGTTCTCGTTTGACCGGGGCATGAGAGTTGAGAAAACTCGCATGCAAACTCTCACTTCTCAACTCTCACCATCTCTCATGTAACTCTTGTTCTCGTTTGACCGGGGCATGAGAGTTGAGAAAACTCGCATGCAAACTCTCACTTCTCAACTCTCACCATCTCTCATGTAACTCTTGTTCTCGTTTGACCGGGGCATGAGAGTTGAGAAAACTCGCATGCAAACTCTCACTTCTCAACTCTCACCATCTCTCATGTAACTCTTGTTCTCGTTTGACCGGGGCATGAGAGTTGAGAAAACTCGCATGCAAACTCTCACTTCTCAACTCTCACCATCTCTCATGTAA